CCGCTATTTAGCCTGATGAACCGATGCCTGCCATTCAGCCTGATGATCCAGTGCCCATTATCCAGCCTGATAACCTGGTGCCCACCGTCCAGCCTGATGACCTGGTGCCTGCCGTCTAGCCTGATGACCCAGTGCCCGCTGTTCAACCTGATGCCCGTTATCCAGCCTGATGACCCAATGGCCGCTATCCAGCCTGATGACCCGATGCCCGCTATTTAGCCTGATGAACCGATGCCTGCCATTCAGCCTGATGATCCAGTGCCCGTTTTCCAGCCTGATGACCCGGTGCCCGTTATCCAGCCTGATGACCCAATGCCTGCTACCCAGCCTGATGAACCGCCTGATGACCCAATGCCTGCTGTCCGGCCTGCCGACCCGATGCCCGTGGTCTGTCCTGCTGACCCAGTGCCTGCGGTCCGTCCTGCTGACCCAGTGCCTGCGGTCAGTCCTGCCGACCGGGTGCCCGTGGTCTGTCCTGCCGACCCGGTGCCCGTGGTCTGTTCTGCTGACCCGGTGCCCGCAGTCTGTTCTGCCGACCCGGTATCCAATGTCTGGCTTGATGCGCCTGGATCTGCTGCCCAGCATGATGTTCCAGTGTCCGTTGTCTGGCCTGCTGACTCGGTGTCTGCTGTTTGGCCTGCTGACCCGATGTCCGCTGTCTGGCCTGGTGTCCGCTGTCTGGTGTGCTGACCCGGTGTCCGCTGTCTGGTGTGCTGACCCGGTGTCCGCTGTCTGGCCTGCTGACCCAGTGTCTGCTGTTTGGCCTGCTGTGCCTCTGCCCGCTGCCCGGCCTGATGTGCCTCTGCTGACTGCCAGCCTGATGTGCCTCTGCTCGCTGCCCAGCCTGATGTGCCTCTGCCCGCTGCCCAGCTTGATGAACCGGTGCTTGCTGCCCAGCCTGATTTGCCAGCCCCTGATGTCCAGCTAAACTGGCCGATACCTGATTCCCAGCCTGTCTTTGGAGGTCCTTTGCCCAGCAACCTGCCTTCCTGTGTTCTGCTGTGTAAAGATAAGTCTACCAGCAGGAAACCCAGCCAGTCTCTTGACTTTGGTAGTGGGGTATCCAGCCAGTCACCTGACCCGGGCAGTGGAACATTTTGCCCATTAATGACTGTTTGGAGCATCCTGAGGCCGCACCTTAAAGGGGGGGGGGGTACTGTCAGGAAAGGGCTCATCGCTGGTGGTGCTCTGGCTCACCTGCTCCATGAGCTGCAGTACTGGGGTTTACCAGCAAGTGCCTTTCAGCAGCCAGGATTTCACCTCCTGCACTCAAGCCATCACCTGAGGCTAATTGCAGGAGGTATATTTAAACAGCAATCATGCCTGTAATCAGTGCCTTGGTGTTTTGTTCCCATGTGTGTGTGACATCTGTATTTCTGTTATCCTGTGAACCTGCTACCTGCTCCTGTTACCTACTTCTGGACCCAGCTCCTTATCTCTATTCCTTATCTCTTCATTTCAGCCGGTTTCCTTCCCACCTGCTCTCTCTGCTCCTGTGATCCGCTCCTTGTCCTGTCTGGCTCCCAGTGCCCCATGCTCAATCTCCAGCGTATGACCCCGGCTAGCCTTGACTACGCTTTTACTCTGCATGTGTATATATTTGGTGGATGTTTTGGTTATTTGGTTTTTGCTTGCACTGTGCGTTTATATATTGGTGTGTCTTACAAATAAATTATACTATTTACATCGCTCCTGAAGCCTTATATTCCCTGTGTCAGTCCACACATCTCTGGTCATATCCGGATTCCTGACAACAGCCATGCAAAGCAGTATGCTTACAGTGAAACACACAGACACAGCACTTAGTAAAACAGCACACAGCTAACCCTTTGATCTCCCCTCATATTAACCCCTTCTTGCCCAGTGCCATTAGTAAAGTTTCAGTGCTTTTTTTTTTAGCATTGATCACTGTATTGGTGTCACTTCCCCCCAGTGTCAGAATGCCTGCCGCAGTCCCACAGTCCTGCTATAAGTCACTGATCGCCCCCATTACTAGTAAAAATTAAAAACAAATCCAAGTATATATACCACCATTTGTAAACGCTATAGCAAAGACATGTAGAAAAACACATTTTGGCCTAAATTTTATTTTTTAAATTTTTTTTACTGGTCATGTTTAATAGCAAAAATTAAAAAATATTTTTTTTTATAGCGCAAAAAATAAACAACGCAAAGCAATCAAATACCACCGAAAGAAAGCTCAATTCGTGGGAAATAAAGGATGCAAATTTCATTTGGGTGCCACATTGCATGACCGCACAATTGTCAGTTAAAGTAACGCAGTACCATAACGCAAACAAATGGATGGTCAGGAAGGGGGGTAAATCCTCAGGAGGGCAAGTGGTTAAAGAAAAACTTCCATATAAAAATGTAAACAATGTGCCAAAGATGAAAATCCATCAATTGCATTGTAGTATGTCCAGCACTAATATTGATCACCCGCTTTCATGACAATCTACTGAGCGATAATCTTGCCCACTGCCATTGCAAAATGACAGATCCCTGGCCCGCTTCTGCTATTAAATAAATCTGCCAGGTATGCTGTGATGTCATTGACCAGATATTCTGTTAATTCACAGATCTTTGGCCTGTTTAAGTTTTAATAAACAGTTTAAGTTTAAAACATGTTTTATATGTCTTATGATTCAAGGAATCTGCTGGTGATGTCCATCAGTACTCTTTTTCACATCCGTCAGATTGTCTGCTAATGTAGCTGAGGGAAGATAAATTAAATAATACAGTTATATACAATGCATTCTACAATCACTATTTATCAATAAAAATGAACTGCACCAGCATGACATTACTCAGTACAGATACTGGCGATTGCATTTTTGGGATTCAGCACAACAATAGAGGCCATAAATTAAACTGTGTTAACGAGAATCCTAATTGGAGGGTCAGTTAGTGCCTGTCTGTGGTAATAAACAGGACATAAAGCTATTAGAATACATTGCAGGATATGGGAAGGATTACAGCTGACCATCAATATTGTGCTCAATCATGCAGGGCTGAACATCATCACATTTGAGGCACTTACTTGAGCAGTTTTAAAGATCACCAATAATAAGGTCACGACATATGACAAGCACTATTATTCTGAGCCGCAATCCGTCTACGTGATGTGCACTGCATTATATTATCTTCCATTACAGCTATGACTTTGCATATTTTAGATCATAATTAAATATTGATTTTGCTACAGTTTTTTTTTTCTATCAGGGGTTAATAGCTTGGAGACTAATAACAATGTAGATGGATGCACTTTCCTATAAATAGCATTTTTGTTAATGTATACAATATTGAAGTTGGTGTAGCTGTTTTTAATTTGCCAACTTCCAAATTGCCAATATTCAAAAAAATGAAGAAGAAGGGTATTGCTATGGAGGTGCTTCTCTAGAAGCTAGTTTATTAAAGTCAGGGTGAATCAAAGAGCATTCCTCTGTCTGGATTCATCAAGAGACTTAAAAGCAGTAGTAAACTGCAGGAAGGACAAAAAAAAAAGTCCCCTGCAAGGTAATGTCATAATGTGCTACTATGCATCGCATACTAGCACATTATGTAAAACTTACCTTAAAATGAAGCCCTCCAGCGGCACACTGTCACCACTGCAGAGGCTTCCATCTTCACCCTTCCTTAAGGGTTCGCGAGCTCCAGCTGTCTGACACAGTTCTGAGGAATGGCATGGGTATGCTTAAAAAGAGAGAATATCTCCTAAACTGTGCACATTTAGGGGATATTCATTTTACCTACAGGTAAACTTTATTATACGCTTACCTATAGGTAAAACTAAAAAAAATTAGTTTAGTACCACTTTAAATTTGGATCCACACCAGCAACGCTATTCATGTTATCGCAAGTGTACGTCAAAATATTTCCATATCTTAAAGATTATTCTTTCCACCTGGAAAGCAGAAATCTATTCTTTTGTAGACCCCACCAGCAGAGACCATGTAGTCAAGTATCAGTTTACCTCCCCCCCCCTCCCCCCTATTGGGAAAAAACTAGGACTATTTCCAAATTTGGGGAGGTAAGACTTGTACATTTCTTGGTTATGCCTTCTGCATGGGCACAGGTCACCTCTGTCTCCACTTGCTTAATACTTCGTAACCTGTTAAAGCAATGTGCCATCACAATCCTTTATGACTGACTATTCTGCCACTGTTCTTTAGTAGATGTTTTACGCTTTAAGGAGCCTGGTGTGGTCTTTTATTCTGTACTAACAGGGGGCTATTCCTGGGTAGGGACTTGTGCTTGGGGAAGAGTGAGGACTGACTGTAGTCTGCAGGCATAGCAGACTGGACAGTGGGTCCAAGTTCTTGGGTGTGCCAATAGAGGTGACATCTTGGTGCTACACCCTGCCAGGTATAGGAGCCCTGAGCCCCAATGCAAAGGAACGTGTCATTTTTTTCAGCCGATGATTTGCTGTTCAGTATAAGTATTCTGGGTGATTACTTTTACAGTAGTTTAACCACTTGCCTACAGGGCACTTATAACCGTTTCCTGCCCAGGCCAATTTCCAGCTTTCAGTGCTGTCACATTTTAAATGACAATTGCGCGGTCATGCAACACTGTACCCATATGAAATTTTTATCATTTTTTTGTGACAGATAGAGCTTTATTTTGGGGGTATTTAATCACCTCTGGGTTTTTTATTTTTTCTTAAAGAAACCAAAAACCACTGAAAATTTTGAAAAAAACGTTTTTTCTTAGTTTCTGTTATAAAATTTTGTAAATAAGTGATGTTTCTCCTTCACTGATGTGCGCTAATGAGGCTGCAGTGATGGGCACTGATAGGCTGCACTGATGGACACTGATAGGTGGCACGGATGGGCACTGATGAGGAGGCACTGGTAGGTGGCACTGATGGGCATTCACAGGCATCACTGATGGGTACTGACATATGGCACTAATAGGCAGCACCGACTGGCACTGTTAGGCGGCACTGATAAGCAGCACTGACGGGCACCGATTGGCGGCACTGATTGGCAGCTCTGATAGGTGGCACTGACTGGCATTGATAGGTGGCCCTGACTGGCACTGATGGGTGACACTGAAAGGCAGCTCAGATGGGCACTGATATGTGGAATTGATGTGCACTGGTAGGCACTGATATGTGGCACTGATGGGCACTGGCAGGTGGCATGGATGAGCACTGATGGACACTGACAGGTGGCACTGCTGGGGCTACACTGATCATCAGGGCACACTGATCATCAGTGCCCTGATGATCTGTGTACATGTCCCCTCTGAGGAATGCCAATTACCGGCTCTCCTCTCCTCTGTCAGCGTGACAGCTCGAGAGGAGAGAAATGCCTATAACCGGCATTTTCCTGTTAACATGTGATCAGCTGCGATTGGACACCTGTGCACTTTTTATTTTTTGCACTAAAAACAAAAAAAAACAATATTTTTTACTTTCGGCTATAAAAAATATATAGTAAACTCAAGGTTAGTCATAAATTTGGGCCAAAATGTATTCTGATACATGTCTTTGGTAAAAAAAAAAAATCCCAATAAGTGTATATTGATTGCTTTGTGTGAAAGTTATAGCATCTACAAACAATGCTATAAATACTGCAATTTATGTCATTTTTTGCTATACAGCACTGTGCTAGTTTAACGGACAATTGTGTGGTCATGCAATACTGTACATAAATGAAATTTATGTCCTTTTTTTCCCACACAAATAGAGCTTTCTTTTGGTGGTAGTTGATCACCTATGGGGTTTTTTTTTTGCGCTATAAATAAAAAAAGACTGAAAATTAAAAAAAACAAAATGATATTTTCTCACTTCGATTATAAAAAATATCCTATAAACTCAAACTTTGCCATAAATTTAAGCCAAAATGTATTTTGCTGCATGTCTTTGGTGAAAAAAATTCCTAATAACTGCATATTAATTGGTTTGTGGGAAAGTTATAGAATCTACAAATAGCGGTACCGATATTGGAATTTACACCACTTTTTGCTATACAGCACTGTGCTAGTTTAACTGACAATTGCGCAGTCATGCAATGCTGTACATAAATGAAATTTATGCCCTTTTTTCACACATATAGAGCTTTCTTTTGGTGGTACTTTTTTTGTGCTATAAACAAAAAAACACTGAAAATTTTGAAAAACAAACCGAGGAATTTAATAAGAGGCATGATGAGTATTTTGCAGATCTAATTTTTTCTCACAAGATTCTTCATTTTCCAAAAACTTGTTGCAACAAATGAGATCTGCAAAATACTCACCATGCTTCTTATCAAATTCCTTGGGGTGTCTACTTTCCAAAAAGGGGTCATTTGGGGGGTTCGTACTATTCTGACATTTCAGGGCCTCCAAAACTGTGATAGGTAGCCAGGAAGTATAATGAGGAAATAAAACCCTTTAAAAGCCTGAAGGTGCTTATTGGATTTCGGGGTCCTGTACTTGGCTAAACTCAGCCATACTCAGGAGAAGTAGATGTATTTTGGGGAATAATTCCACATATACCCATGGCATGTGTGAGCAATAAATCATTTAAGTGACAATTTGTGCAAAAAAAAAAAAAGTTTTTGTAATTTTCCAAAAACTTGTGGTAAAAAAATACATTCTTCTATTGTCTCAGCAATTAGTTTGTGGTGTCTACTTTCCAAAAAAGGGTCATTTTGGGGGAATTAGAAGTTTATGCCACACATCACTCACTCTTCTAACCACCTGAAGACCAATATTTTTTCCTAGAAAATTACTTTGAACCCCCAAACATTATATATTTTTTTTAAAGCAGACACCCTAGTGAATAAAATGGTGGGTGCTGCAATTTTATGTCACATAGTACTCATGCAGTGATTTTCAAACGCAAATTTTAAAAAAATACACTTTTTTTATTTTTAATGAACAAAAAACACAATATATTGGCCAATTATCTGGTGCAATATTAAAGATGATGATATGCTGAGTAAATAGATACCAAACATGACATGCTTTAAAAACTGCACACGCCCCGTGCAATGGCGACAAATTGCATACATTTTTTATATCCATTGGCAACGCTTTAAAAGCCTTTACAGGCTACCATTGCCAGGATAGTACAAACATTCCCCCAAATGACCCCGTTTTGGAAAGTAGACACCCCAAGGAATTTGATAAGAGGCATGTTGAGTGTTTTACATAATAAATGTTTTCCAAAAACATGTGGCAACAAATGAGATCTGTAAAACACTCACCATGCTTCTTAGCAAATACCTTGGATTGTCTAATTCCCGAAAAAGGGTCGTTTGGAGGGGTTGCTTCTACTATCCTGGCATTTCAGGGCCAACATTAGAAGCTTATGCCACACATCACCCACTCTTGAAGACCAAGCCTTTTCTGACACTTTTTGTTCACATGAAAAAACAGTTTTTTTTTGCTAGAAAATTACTTTGAACCCCCAAACATATATTTTTTTAAAGCAGAGACCCTAGAGAATAAAACGGTGCGTGTTGAAATTTTTTTTACATCACACAATAATTGCGCAGTGATTTTTCATACACAAATCTTTTGGGAAAATACACTTTTTAGAATTTTAATGCACAAAAAACAATATATTGCCCAATTGTTTGATAAAAGATGATGTTACGCTGAGTAAATAGATACCAAACATGACATGCTTTAAAATTGCCCATGCCTGTGCAATTGCAACAAAGTACATACATTTTTATTATTGATAGGCGATACTTTAGAAGCCTTTACAGGTCAGTAATTTATATTTACACAGGAGGTCTAGTGCTACAATTACTGCCCTCAATCTGACATTTCCGGCGATACCTCACATGCATAGCGCAACCACTGTTTACATACTGGCACTGGGTCAACCTTTTTTTTTTCTTAAATTATTTTTACTCTGTCCCTTTCATTTTTTTTATCACTTTTAATACTATCACAGGGAATGCAAATATCCCCTATAACTTCAATGGGCATTGTCATATATTCTTTTTTTTTTTGAGAAAAATATGGGGTCTGTCATACTCTAGATATCTCCTCTGCCCTTACATTATCTAATCTCACCAAGATCAGTGTGATCAGATGCTTTCCCAATTTATAAATGGCGCTGTTTATATCCTGCAAAACTGAAGTGATGAAATGCTCGTAGCTTACGGTTTCTTAGACTCTAGAGATGATTTGAACCATTCTGGTCTCTGATCAGCTCTATGGTCAGCCAGAGGAACGTCCGGCTGCATTCTCAGATTCCCCTGTGGGACAGGAAAGCCTAAGAAAACTGTGGAAGGCCAGGGGGGGGGGGGGGGTGGGGGTGGGAATGTCCCTTCCCGCTGCTCGTAAAAACAATTCAGCAGCTAATTGGCCACTAGGATTGCTTTTACATGAGCGCCAACCACCAGCTGAAAAAAAAGATACGAGGATGATGCCTGTAGCTGCAGGCATCATCCCGGTATAACCAAAGTTCAACGACGTACCAGTACATTCCTGGTCCATGTTGGGCATATGTGTAACAGCAGAGAACATGGGCATATGATGAATCGGGTCTGTGCATCAATATGGCTGCAATTCATTATTTTTTATAATGCCCATCTTGAGGGTTAGGCCCAAAAGAGCTTTAATTTCAGAAGCTATGATAGGTTTCCATGCGATTTGTCTGGAAAGAGCTGAATTTGGGTGGGCGACAATGTATTGTTGTGCGTATAAATTGCTTTGGCCCACAATCAATTGATAGAAATCTTCCGTGAAAAACAGCAGAGGGGCTAAACACAAGTGCTGGCAGCGAACGGGGCCGATCCTGCTAACTCTGCGTTTTTGGGGACACTATACAAAGGAGGAACTAGTATAGTTCTGTATGTGATCAATATCTTGATCCGTACAAACACTATACTAGCAATGGCTTTGATCAGCGACCTATAGCATGAGTGCGATAATGTGCGGGCAATCTAACACTAGGTGACCCTGGCTGGGAGGGGATCTTACCGACCCTGATGCTTTCTGATGTCGCTAGTGGCAGTAATACAGTGATCAGTGAAAAATTCTGTATACTGACACTGTACTAATGGCATTGGTTGGGTGAGCAAAGGGTTAATAGGGGCGAGCAAAGGGTTAAATGTGCTAATGTAACGTGTGTGTGTGTGTGTGTAAAATGTAGTGCTTTTACTCAGTGCAATGTTCTCTCTCCTCTCCCTGGACCGATGGATGGGGGGGCAGTGGGGGGCGCAGGTGCGTTCACAGCCAAAAATAATTCCGTAAAAATAGGAAGTTACGCAAGATTATGTCGCTTTGCCAAGCGCTGGTGCTCGTCCACAAAATGTGGGTAAGAGGTTGGCAAGTATTTAAAAAAACAAACAAAAAAAAACCTCTTAACCACTTGCCTACTGGGCACTTATACCCACTTTCTGCCCAGGCCAATTTTCAGCTTTCAGTGCTGTCACTCTTTGAATGACAATTGCGTGGTCATGCAACATTGTACCAATATGAAATGTTTAGCATTTTTTTCACACAAATAGAGCTTTCTTTTGGTTGTATTTAATCGCCACTGGGTGTTTTTTTTTTTTGCTCAATAAACAAAAAATTTGAAAAGGAAAAGTTTTTCTTTTTTTCTATTATAACATTTTGCAAACAGGTAATTTTTCTCCTTCACTGATGTGCGTTGATGAGGCTGCACTGATAGGCAGCACTGATGGTCACTGATAGGAGGCATTGATAGGCAGCACTGATGGGCACAGGTAGGCGGCACTGATCATCAGGGCACTGAGCATCAGTGCCGATCACTTCTCTGACAATTGCTGGTTATCGGCAATAGTTTCCTCATGTTGTGACAGCGTGAGGAAAGTGCAGCTGATAACTGGCAACTGTATTCACCCAGTGATCTGCTGTGACATTGGACACTGTGATTGGCCGTTTACCTATCACGTGATCAGCTGTGTCCTTGGGACACAGCAACAACCGGCTGTGCCCGGTGTGCGTTGCTGGGGGCATGTTCTGGAATGACGTCCATGGACGTCACCCCAGAACTAGACAACCGAGCTGTAGCCATCTTTCAGCTATAGCGCAATAGGGAAGCGGTTAAAGTGGTTGTAAAGGCACAAGGTTTTTTACCTTCATGCATTCTAGTGCAGTAGGGAAGAGGTTAAAAATAATTTAAAAAAAGTTCTCAATATGTTTTTTTTTTTAATACTTTTATCAGAATTGTACAATGTTACCCATTGACCAAATGTATAGATTATGAAATATAATACTTCTCTCATATGATTTGGTAAATTAAGAGTACCCAGAAGTGAAAGGTTTAACACAACAACCAAAGTTTATTGGTGAATAGTATGAATAGTATGGTCTAAACTAACACAATCTAGTTACAT